AGAGAGAGAGAGATAGATCAATCGATCGATAGATAGGTAAACAATTTTGAACATACTTTGTTTTTTAAAAATATCCCCCAACCATCCAATTACAATAAATTAAAACCTATAAAATGTCATAACGCTTCCAAAACCGTTGAAAAGCAGTCTTTAATAAGGTGTTCTTTTAGATGACTTGCTAGCAATCAGCAAAATAAATGATTCAATTTGAGCTAAAAAAGCATCACATGGATCAAGAAGTCCACGCTGTAATGCTTTCGGTATCGTTGTTCGATGGTCAAAAATCTGAAAAACATCAAAACTTAGACGTATGAATTTTTAGCAAAGATTTCCAGTAAATAAATTTGTAGATGCGTTGTGTATGCATATTTAATTCTTCTCCAACTTATTTTTTCAATTCTTTCCGTCAAACTAAGCGTTGTTGTGTTCCTCTGAAAGAGATTCTAATTTTCTCTAGAGGACCGCCTCCATTTACACACTGTAACATAGGCGACTTTTACAGCGCTGCCGCTGCTTAGTGACTGTACATTTAATTATTTCTTTACATCAATTATCTCTATAACAGACAATTAATTAAAGCCAGTTATTATTCTTGAAATCTAATTACTGAAGAAAAATGCTTACTTAAATGAAAGCAAATCTTATAACAAGTCCAGAAAAAATCAGTGCTCCCATCTCATCGTCTTGATGAGTAAATTTTGTGGTACACGTTCAGTATTTTAATTCAGTGAGAGAAGTCTCATCATGAATGTCAAATAATATGGATAACGAAAATCACCTGCAGTTTACGCAAGATTTCATCGATAACAGGAGGATTCCACTTAAAACGATCAATGAAGCAAATTTTCGGATCTACCACCCATCGTTCACAGATGAATCGACGGAAATCACGATTTACATCAACAGCTTTTTCTTCTTCTGTCTTAAAATTGTTCAGCCTTACTTATGATAGTAAAATACGCCACCATGCAGAGTAGTGGTTCCCGACCGGTGAATGCGAGAACTAAAATATATCTACAAAGGCTTTAAAAATTATGTTCCTTATTTTTGTATTATAATGTTACCCCAAGTATGACTGGTGTGTTAAAAGTTTTGATTAAATTATATTTTTAAATTAACAGTATTATTTCTGAACTTTGTGGTCTCTGCTACAAATAAAAAGCCAAAGTGATCCTGGCCAAGAAAAGTTTGGGAACCATTAATATAGATAGAGTAAAATCAAAAGTATCCAAACTTGTGTAACCGATAAAATAAATTCAAAATCATGAACGATAAAACACCTTTGTTTTCATGTATGTATTGATCAGCTCGGGCAAAAAACTGACTTGTGCGCTGAAGTCCGTTTGAACATTCACTGAATCATGGAATTCACAAATGAAAGAACTATGTACCTGCAAAAAATACACAAACTTATGTCGAGGAACAGTTTGTAGTAGCTATATATATAATGACAAACTTCAGGTACGAGAGGCTCTTCATCAACTTCTATCCCTTGTTTCTGCAACGTCGACAAGACGGCATCCAGTGCAGGGAATCTGCAAATTTTTATAAGTCCTTTCCTGCTATTTTTAAAGGAAATATGAAGTATTCTCTCGCAGTTATACAAAATGCAGTTCATATAAACCAGTAGATATAAGACATAAGTGGAGTCAAATGTTTCATCTTACTGAAATAACTGAAGTACAGAATGATGTGTAGCTGGCTGATTCAAATTTGAAGGAATGTATTTCAGCCGCATAAGTACATCACCAATAACATGATGAAGGCATGCCAATACTGAGCTCATTTGTCGTACCATACTTCCCCTACTTTGCTGCAATGTAATTTACAAACATTGTTAAAAACTAATTCTACCAACAAAGTGTAGTAAGGTAAACTGAAGTTGCATATGTAATAAATGAAAATTAAATCAACCAAGGAAGTAAAAAAATTTAAACAAGATTTCAATGGAATGCACCACCAGTTCGTACGAAGTAAATTTATTTATATCATAATACTTTGTCAAACTTGTCGTGCATTTCTTATCATAACACTAGCAAGGTAACACCAGCTGATAACTATTCCGCCAGCGCTAAGATTGAAATTTCATGTTAAAATGTCATGAAAACAATGAACATAATGAGCACATCTATCTCTGCACTT